GCCCTGTGCAGAGCTCCGGCAGCGAAGGGCCGGCGCCCGCCCAAGCCACGGGAGCCTGGACAAGCCCCGCGCCTCCATCAGTCGGGCGGAACCCGCCCCCCCACTGGGCTTCCCAAATCCCCCAGCCAAGGCCTCCCCGCAAGCCCCAGGCCTTGGCCCAGGCGAGGCTGTGGGGGGCAATGGCTCACAAAAGCAATTTATCGCTGCAAGATTGTCTGGGCACGCTGGAGAGCGGGAGCGAGCGGGCGAGAGGGAACATGCACTCCAGGCACACCAGGCCACCAGCTGCGCGTGTGCACAGGGCTGCAGTGGGCATGCACAGACCCTGTCTGCATGTGCGACACTGCTGGACACACGTGCACAGGATGACGGGGCCAGGAAAAAGGGGCGAGTGCCTGCCACATGGTGCCCAGAGCTGTGACAGCTAGCTGCACGTGCAAGGGACTGACGGGTGTGTGTGTGTGTGCGCGCGCGTGTGAGGGAGCGTGACTGCCTGTGACATAATGCATGGCATTGCGATGGCTGAGTGTGCAAAGGAGCGTGACTGCCTGGGATGTGGTGAATAGGACCATGTGGGCCACATGTGAGGGCGGGCCCCCGACTGTGCGATGGTGCACAGGGCATGCAAGGGTGTGCCCTTGCCTGTGGGATCATGCGTGGGGCATGCAAGGGCGGACCCCTGCCTGTGCGCCTGCAGGGGGTGTGTGAGCGCGTGCCCCTGTCTGTGGGATGGTGCACAGGGTGTGCAAGCGCGTGACCCTCCCTGTGGGATGGTGCCCGGGGCGTGCGAGGGCGTGCCTGCCCTGCTCCTTCCTGAATCCCAGAGCCTGGCTCCAGCCCCGGACCCCACGTGCCTCCCAGCATTGGACGGGACCCCAGGTGTCCTGGCCGCCAGCCCCGCTGCTCTAACCACCAGACCTTGCTCCTCTCCAAGAGCTGGGACTGAACCCAGCAGTCCTGGCCCCCAGCCTGCCCCGTCCCCCCCGCCAGCTCTAACCACCAGACCCCACTCCCCTCCCCAAGCAGAGACAAGACCCAGGTGTCCTGGCTCCCCCCCAGTCCCAGCACAGCAGGCTCCAGCGCCGCCCCCCCAGACTGGGGAAAACCCAGTCCCGAGGCAGAGGAGAGGCGCACCTCACCGACTAACTACATCAGACACGCGTAGGCGTTCGCAAGCCCGATGCTGCGCAAGGACGTGCATGGAGCAGTCCGTGCAATGTCTCCGACCGGCGCGGCCCGCATGGGCCCTGGTCCCGAGGGACCGGTTCAGTCCGCGGCTCGGTGCCGCTTCGACCCGAACGCATTGATGGGCGATGGGCCCGACCCGAACACGGCGCGCAGGGTCGGGCGCTCCACGCAGCCACCTCTGGCTCCCAGGCCCAGCTGGGCACTGGCGCGGCCTCTCAGACCTGGCCTGAGCTGCAGCCGCCCCGTCCGGGGAGATGGGGGAACCTGCCCGGATGCCAGCAGCCCCCCCGGGTAGAGGCGGGGGTCTCTTCTGGCCCCGGCAAAGCCCTGCAGCCGGGGATCACCAGGCGCCTTCCACCGCAGGAGTTACCCCTGCATCCTGCCCAGGGCACCACAGACATGCTCCACGCTCCACTCGGTGCCCGGTCCCAGTCCGGCCGTACGTGGCCGGAGCAGTTGGACGTTGGATCAGGGTCTTCGGCTGCAGCCTGCCGGGAGCCCACTCCCAAGGCCCCGTCCCTGGTTGTTCGTGACCGTCTGATTCCCGCCCTGCCCTCGCCTGCGGTCTGTCTGCAGCTGTCAGACCCGGGGCAGGTGCAGGGTCAGAGCGCAGCGGCTGCAGCGGTCACCCAACACACGTGCTCCGCTCCCCCTTCGCACCCCCTCCAGGACTGTCATCCTCCACGGGCTTGCGCCCATCCCGCTGCCCACCTGGACGCCTGCATCCCTCTCCTTCAGGGACCCCAACCCCAGCTGACATCTGGTCACTGGCCCCCAAGCGCGGGACTTTGTAGGACTTGCTGCCAAGCCCCACACCCTCCTGCTCCTCCGCCCCTCTGCCCCCAGGCCCCGCCACGGGCCCGAGCACAACACCGCGGTCCCCCGTGGCAATGACCATGTCTCACTGCCCACGGGAGAGTCTCCTCCGCGGTCACCAGCCACTCTTCCCCCACGCCAGTGCCCCAGACCCTCGCACACACGTGTCCTAAGTCACACGTCCAGCACGCCGGGGCCCGGGAATGCGAGGCATCCGGGAGGGGCTCCAGCCGCAGAGCCCCTGATCCCTGCTAATCCGCAAGGAGGGGTCTGGGATTAGCCCAGCTGGCTGTGGATTCCCGCACCCCGCCGGCCGCAGCTGGGACCAGGCACAGCCGGACGCGACGCCACGCGGGGCAGGGGAGCAGCTGCTCTGGCCATGCCCAGCCTGGCAGCAGGTGCCCGGCACAGCTGAGTCTGGCAGGGGCAGCACCACCCCTCGGCCCCCAGTGCAGCCCCCCCAGGAGCCCTCGCACGCTCCAAGCCAGGCTGGCCCGAGCTGGCCCCAGACGGCCCCAGCACCCCTGGAGCAATGGGGTGCTTCTCCCCATCCCACTCTGCTCAGTGCCTGACCAGCCTGGGAGTCAGCAAGTCCCTCCTTGTCCTCAGCCTCAGTTTCCAATGCTGCAGCTTGGGGCCATTGCTTCTAGCCTTGCGGTCTAAGAGAGGCGAAGGTGGAGCCGCTCAACAGCTGCTTTGCCTCCGTCCTCACAACAAACTGAAGCAGCAGCCAGGCACCGAATAGCGATTATCTGAACAAGGAACAGGGCGAGCTGATAAGAGAGGGCCGGAGAGCTTTGGAGGGTCAGTCAGTGCCTGGGTAGGTCCCGGAGCAGAGCCTCGGGGAGTGCATCTGCACGCATCTGGAGGAGCAAAGGCGGGCGGAAACAGCCCGCGTGGACAAACAGGCCGAACAAACTTGATCTTCAACCAGCGCTGCCCGGGCAGAGGACGGGAACGCTGCGGCTCTCGCGTATCTGGACTTCAGCAAGGATTTTGTCCAAAAGCCCCACACAAGCTTCTCCTAAACAAGCGGGGTGGACAAAGCTGCTACGAGGTGGGCAGACAACTGTCTCACTAGCCGCAAGCCAAGGGCTGTTGTACAGGGATCCACGTCAGCACGGCAGGAGGCTTCGAGCGGAGCCCCACGGCGGCCCGGTGCTGATCAGTGGGTTTGTTAACGAGCCAGACGCCGGTTCTGGAGCAAGCCCGCAGACGACGAAGCTGGGACGGATGGAGGAGCTGGGCACGTTCAGCTTGCGGAAACGACGCTGTTCTCTCCGGCTGCGCGGCAGGACGTGCACCAATGGCTTGAGGTTGCAGCCAAGTTGGCTGGGATGGGAGATCAGATAAAACTTGTTCGCTGCTAGAGCAGGGGGCATCGAGACATCCGAGGAAGCGCGGGGCTCTCCATCACTGGAGGGGTTCAAGGAAAGGTTGGACAGCCACTGGTCCAGATACCTGTGCTCTGCTGTGGGGATTTCCCAGGTTTCTGGGCTTTGCTACTTGCCTCCACTTTCTGCTCCACGTGTTGGGGTGTTTTTAAGCTTCCCCCAGAGACACTGGGTGCTGCAACCTAGGCTGGGGATGGAGACTGGGCTGTGTCCTGCTGGCACCAACCCCACAGGGTCCTGGCTAGAGGGTCTTGCCCCTCTGCTTAGGGTCAGACTGATGCCAGATTTGGGGTCCCGGAGGACTTTTACCCTCTGGTCAGACTGGTATGGAGTGGAGGGGAGGTTGCCTTTCTCTGTAGCAGGGGCACAGCTCTCTACCAAGACCTCTCAAGCATATATTAATGACCTGTTATAGAAGCAGGACTTTGCTGCGGCCCCTGTTTCACCTGCGGCAGTTCAGGTGCGAGGTCTGTGCTGTGCCAGGGTTTATGCTGGTCTTACAGTTTAGATTCGTGCCTGTATAACATGGTTTGCACAGGGCTGGTCCAGGCCCAGGCAGAGGCTGGACTAGATGTGACCTGTGGAGGTCCCTGCCAGCCCCACGGCTGTAGGACGTCTATGACTGTGAACACACTGGAGGATGGGAACGCAATTGGGACGGATCTCGACAGAGCGGAAAGCCGGGCTGGAGATACAGTGCTGCGGCCCAAGAGCAATACTCCAAAACGCCAATGCAAAATGGGCAATGCCTGGCTGGACAGGAGAAGGGTCTAGGACAGTGATTCCCAGCCAGCACCTTGGGAGTCCCTTGAGACACTTTCAAGGAGGATGTGGGGT